GCCAGAAATCCTTAAGAAAGGTTGCCCGCTCTCGGCGCAGTCCCCCGCTACTGCTGCAACGGGACGGAGGGGCCTTGAGCCAAAATGGCAACGGAGGAGGAGGAGGAGGAGGAGGAGGAGGAGGAGGAGGAGGAGGAGGAGGGAGGAGGGAGGAGGGAGGAGGGAGGAGGAGGAGCCCTCCGGGAGCGCCCGGGCGCCGCGGTGGGGGGGCCCAAGAGGGTCTCGAAGTGGCCTCGGGAAGGCCCCTCCTGGGGCCCAAGAAGCACGGGGGGCCTCGTGGGCCATCTCAGGGCCCATGGGCGCTGTATTGGCGCCTTCGTGGGGGCGTTTGAGGCGATCTTGGGGCGATCCTGGGGCCTCTTGGGCCATCTTAAAGACTGGAGAAGCCGAAAAGGCAGAATGGTGAAGACTGTGAAAGTGGGGCTCTCGTAGGACTGCTCTTGTTTTGGGTCATCTTGGAGGCCTGTTGCGCCGTAGGGAGGTCTTCGGGGCCTGTGGAGCACCTCTGTCAACGATTCGGACCTTTCTTGGATCGTCTTGGGGGCATCTGGGAACGCTCTTGGGCCGTTCTTGGGCCGTCTGCGACGCCTCTGGAGCGGCTCGTGTACCGTCTTGGGGCCCGCAGGGGCTGTGTTGAGAGCTTCTTGGGAGCGTCTGAGGCGGTCGTGAGGCGATCTTGGGGGCCTCTGGGGCCGTCGTAGAGCGTGAAGAAGCTGGAGAGGCATAATATCGAAAATCCTTCAAAACTTCATGAACTAATGCATGAATGCTGTTTCTTGGGGCTGTCGTGTGAATGAGGTTGGGGATCCCGCTCGAAACATCTTCGCAATGCTACTCCTCGGAGCAGTCCTTTGGGTGTTCGTTAGGATGTCGGGTAAGGGTTCTCGGGGGCGCTGGGGAGACAAGTTTGAAGCCTTTTGGGTGCCATCTTTTCAAGCCTCTTGGGGCGTCGTCCGGGTCTCTTGGGGCATCTTGGGGTCTCCCGGGGGCTCCTCGGAACATCGTGGGGCGGAAAGCTCGACTTGTTGGTTCGGACTTCCGCTCTTGTGCCACTTGTTGGACCGTCCTCGGGCCCTCTTGGGCTCTCTTGGGCGACTCTTGGGCCGCCTTGGGCTTTTCTGGGCCGTCTTGGGACCATCTCGGGGGCCCTTGGGACGGTCTTGGGGGCTTTTCGGGCCAGCTTCAACGCCGTAAAGGCAGAAAAGTCGCGCATGCTAGAACAGTACGTTTTTGTGGAAGAGACGGGGCAATTTGGTCGTCTTGGGGGCGCTCTTGGTGGTGCCCTTGGAGGCTTCTCGGGGCTTCTTGGCCAGCCTCTTGGAACGTCTTGGAGCCATCAAAGGCGCCTTGGAAAGGTTCCTCGGCGACTCGCATGCCTCTTGGGCCACCGTAAAAGGGTTGCCGGAGGCCACCTGGCCCGGCTTGGAGGGGCCTAGGATCCCGGCCACCGGCATAGGGGACCTGGTGGTTGCCCTGAGGGCCCCCGGCCTTGGACCCCCGGGTCTATGTGTACATACATACATACATACATACATGCATGCATGCATGCATGCATGCATGCATACATACATACATACGTACATACGTACGTACATACGTACATACATACGTACATACGTACATACGTTCATACGTACATACGTACATACATGCATGCATGCATGCATGCATGCATGCATGCATGCATACGTACATACGTGCATGCATGCATACATACATGCATACACACATACATGCACGCAGTCATACAAACATACACATATGCGTGCATACATACATACCCACATGCACACATACATATATAAAGGGTGTATGCATACATGCATGCACATATATATATATATACAGACATACCAACACATGTGTGGTTGTACACTGTAGGCCTACGTACAAACATAATTTTATGTATGTATGTATAAATCTTCATAGATAGATGAATATGTATACAAACTGCCATGAAATGTACATGATTCTTGAGGAGGAACGAATCCTCCTCCTCCTCATCGACCTCGTCCTCATCCTCGGCCTTGTCCTGCTTCTCTTCCTCTTTCTCCTCCTCCTTCCCCCCCCCGTTTCCTGTTCCGCCTCCTTCTTCTCCTCTTGCACCTCCTCTTCCTCCTCCTCGTCCCCGCATACCTCGTCCACATCCTCCTCCTGCCCCTGCCCGCTCCCTCTCCTCTTCCTCCGGTCTACTCCGCAGCCCCGGCACGCACCTAGCTTTGAGGTGCGTGTCCACCGGGGCTAGGCGTGTGTGGTCCCCAGCATAGCAGTCTGCGGGCGAAACGCCCCTGACCCAGATCTCGGAAGGGTCGCACGGCACAACGAACCTCGCTCCCCGGAGAGCATGCAGCTTGGAACGGGCCTCCTGTACAGACTGGCCCCGGGAGCCTCGCAGCCGAGCGGTGGAGCGCACGGGGGTGAGACCGAAGGGCGGGCGGGAGGCGGGGGTCGGCGGTCGTCGGGGGTCGTGGGGCGGAGTCGGCGGTCGTACGGGGTTGCCCTCGGGGGGCGCTGCCAGCGGTGGTCACGACGGGAGCGGCGGCGACGCTCTCGGTGCAGTCGGGAGCCACGCGCGTGGCGTGGGCGGTCTCCTCCTTCGCAACCTCTAACTACCTGCTCCTCCTCGCCCTCTGCTGCCGTCTCCTCCTCCTCCTCAGCCTCTACATGTTCCTCCTCGCCCTCTGCCTCCTCCTCCTCCTCCTCCTCCTCCTCCTCCTCCTCCTCTTCTCCTCGTCGGTGCGCTCCGGCCAGGGGTTGGCCTCCGCCTCCGCCTCCGCCTCCTCCTCCTCCTCAGCCCCTGCTGGTTGTCTTCGCGCTCTGCCTCCTCCTCCTTCTCCTCCTCCTCCTCCTCCCCTTCTCCTCCTCTCCTCCACCTCCTCCTCATCAACATCTCAATCATCATCATCCCACTCATCACCATCATCATCTCATCACCACCACCCCATCATCATCATCCACAACATCCACCACACAACAACTCATCATATCCTCTCATCATCCACAACAATCAAAACATCCCACCACCACTACAAACCCCCCACCACCACCACACCACCACCACCACCCACATCTCATCATCATCATCATCATCATCATCATATCATCCACAATCATCATCATCATCAAGCAATCCTCATCATCATCATCATCATCATCATCATCAGCATCAGCATCCAGCAACCGCATCAGCATCAGCATCAGCATCAGCCTTCAGCATCAGGCATCGCATCAGCCAATCAGCATCAGCATCGCATCTGCATCGCATAGCTTCAGCTCAGCCTTCTCATCCTCATCCTCATCCTCATCCTCATCCCATCCACATCCTCATCGTGCATCCGATCGCATCCTCTCTCATCCTATCCTCATCTCATCCTCACCTAACTCATCCTCATTCCTCCTCCTCATCCTATCTCATCCTCATCAATCCTCATCTCCCTCCTCCTCTCCCCTCCTCCTCTCATGCATATGATCATGAACATGATCCTGATGATGATGAAGATCATCATATCACTCCTCAACAACAATCATCATCATCATCATTCATCAACATCATCATCATCATCATCCTCATCCTCATCATCATCATCATCATCATCATCATCATCATCATCATCATCATCATCATCATCATCATCATCATCGGTCTCCTCGTTCTTACCCTTAAATTATTGTTCCTCCTTCTCATCATCCTCCTGACCTCCTCTTGCATATAATCCTCCCCCTCCCCGCCCCCTCCTCTTTCAAAGAATCCTCCCCCCTCCTGTGGGAAAATACAGACACCGATACCGCTGCTCCCTGGGACCCCTCCTGGGGCGCGATCTGACCAGAACTTCTGAGGGCTCTCCAGGACAAGGGCGATCTCGGACGAGCAGCGTTATATTGGCATATGCTCCTCCTCCTCTGGCTCCCTCGTCTGCGTCAGGAAAGCCTGCACGCGGACCCGCCGACGAGTTTCCCCCGTGCCCTCCGGGAGGTGGCGGTAGGTGACCCCGATGGCTCCCGGGGTGGTGTCTTGCACACCGCCGCCCTCCCGCCGAGGCCCAGGAACCGTCCCCGGTGGCCGGGCGCACTCCGCCCTGGCTTATGGCTCTGCGGCTCCGGCGCGTGGGCGCCAGCTCCGCGGATCGGGACAGGCCCCCCGGGCGAGCTCGAGGCCGACGTCGCCCGATCTGGAGAGGGGGCGCGCCGACTCTGCCAGGGGAACCGGGGCCCGCCGCTGCTCTCTAGAGGAGGGAGCAAGCTGCACAGGCAGCACGGATGGTTTGCATCGGCGCAGGACCCCCTGGCGGCCCCGGCCCTGGCGGGCTCCGCGCGCCAGGGAGGGGGGGCCAGCGCTGATCCGAGAAGTCCGCGCAGAACTCCGGATGCTTACGTTTATGCCGCTCGCTGTTCTTTCAGAAGCCGCGCGTCGCAGCTCATGCTCGCGTTTCTTCGATGGGGGGCGTCTGTGTACACGTTGCGGTGGCGGACTTCCCCTCCATCCCCCCCCCCCCGGCGGCGCGCGCATGGAGGGTAGGGGGTAGGGGGAAGGGGGCATTCTTGGAAGGAGGCTGCTTCTCAGGAGAAGCCGGCCCTGCATCTACAGGTCAGGCCCGCGCGTTCCGAGAAGCAGGAGTGCTCCTCAGAAGCCCCTCCCCCTCCCCCTCCTCCCCCTCCTGCTCCTCCTGCTCCTCCTGCTCCTGCTCCTGCTCCTGCTCCTGCTCCTGCTCCTGCTCCTGCTTCTGCTCCTGCTCCTCCTCCTCCTCCTCCTCCTCCTCCTCCTCCTCCTCCTCCTCCTCCTCCTCCACCTCCTCCTCCTCCCCCCCCTCCTCCTCCTCCCCTGCTGGCCATCGCTCGGGCGCCCGCTCCCCGCGCACTTGGCCGCCCCCCGCGCGCAGACCCCGCCGCCGGAGGCCCCAGGCAGCGCCGAGGTGCGGCTCGCGCCGAGGGAGCGCAGCCTGCGGCCGCCCGAGCGACGCCCGGCCCTCTGCGCGCGGCCGGCCCCCCCCCCCCCGCGGAGCCGTGGAAGCCCACGGGCAGCAGCACGGCCGGGCTCGGGTCGGCCTCCGGGCGGGGCGCGCGGCGCGGCGCGCGCGGAGCGCGGAAGGCGGGGGGGGGAGCGCGAGGGCGAGGGAGGAGAGCGCGGGAGAGGCCAAAGCCACTTCGGCGAAGGGGCCCCCTCTATCCCCCCCCTCTACCCCCCCCCCCCCACGTGCAGCCGATGAAGCGGCGGCGAGCCAGGGGGGGGGGAGTTCGAGGGAGAGGACCATTCTCAAGAGGGCTCGGAAGTCCCCCGGCCTTTTGAGAAGTGCTGCGGGCCTTCCCCGAAGACACAAAACATGTCTTGGAAGGCCCGAGGGCTTCTGAGAAGCCCCGCCGACGTCTAAGAGGGCCTCCTTCTTCTTCGTTGTCGTCGTCGTCGTCGTCGTCGTCGTCACTGTCGTCGTCGTCGCCGTTTGTCGCAATTCGTCGTCCTTTGCGAGTCGTCCGTTGTCGACGTTCGTAGTCGCTCGTCGTCGTCGTCGTCGTGGCCAATCGTCGTCCGTTGTCGTCGTCGTCGTCGACGACGTCGACGTCGTCGTCGACGTCGTCGCCGTTCGTCGTCCGTCGTTCGTCGTCCGTCGGCCGTCGTCCGTCGTCCGTCGTCCGTCGTCGTCGTCGTCGTCCGTCTGCCATCTTTCGTCTTTCGTCGTCCTTCGCCCATCGTCCGTCGTCGACCGTCGTCGACATCGTCGTGGCCGTGCGTGGTCGGGGTTGTCTTCGTCGTCGTCATTCGTCTTCCGTGGTCGTCGCCGTTCGTCGTCGTAATCGTAATCGTCGTCGACGTCTGTCGCCGTTCCTCGTTCGTCATTCGTCGTCCGTCGTCGTCGTTGTCGTCGGCGTCGTCGTCGTCATCGTCGTCGTCGTCGACGATGTCCGTCGCCGTGTCGCCCTGAGTCCGTTGAATGTCGTCCGTCGTCGTCGTCGTCGTCGTCGTCGTCGTTAGTCGCCGTTCGTCATCTTCGTCGTCGTCGTCGCCGTTTGTCGTCTGGTGTCGTCGTCGTGGTCGTGGTCGGGGTCATGGTAGTGGTCGTCGTCGTCAACGCCGTTCGCCTTTCGTCGTTCGCCGTCCATGGTCGTCGTCGTCGTCGTCACCTTCGCCGTCTGTCGCCGTTCGTCGACATCGTGGTCGCAATAATTAATTCGTCGCCGCTCGTCGTCGGCGTTCGACGTCCGTCGCCGTCGTCCGTCGACGTCCGTCGCCTTCCGTCATCGTCCGTGGTCATGGCCGTGGTCGTGGTCGTCATCGTCGTAATCATTCGTCGTCCGTCGTCGACGTCGTCATCACCGTTCAACGTCGTCGTCGTAGTCGTCGTCGTCGACGTCTGTCGCCTTTCGTCCGTCGTCATTCGTCGTCCGTTGTGTGTCGTCCGCTGTTGTCGTCTTGGTCGCCGTTCGTCGCCGTTCGTCGTCGTCGTCGTCGTCGTCGTCGCCGTTTGTCGTCCGTCGTCGTCGCCTCGGCGGTGGCGGCGTCGGCGTCGGCGTCGGCGGCGTCGTCGTCGTCCGTCCTTCGTCGCCGCTGCTCCCCGGACCTCTCCTGGGGTGCGTCCTGAGCAGAGCTTCGAGGCGAATCCAGCGGTGGCGACGAGGGCCTCCCGGGGGGGGCCCGCCCGACAGAGGGAACAAAACGGGGGAAGGGCAGCCGTGTGGGTGCCTCGTCCTCCTGGGGAGAGCCTCGCCTGCGGGCCCTCCCGCGGGCGTCCCCGGGGGGGGGCGGGGGCGCGGACCCAGCGGGGGCCTTCGCCCACCGTGCGCTGTTGCAACCGCGCCCTGCGGACGCCATCTGGGGCGAGGGAGGCGCTGCCACGCCTGCGCGCGGGGGGACGGCGCCGTCGTCGTCGTCGTCGCGGCCGCCGTCGTCCCCAGGCGCGGCAGCAGCAGCAGCAGCAGCAGCAGCAGCAGCAGCAGCAGCAGCAGCAGCAGCAGCAGCAGCAGCAAGAAGAGCCGACGACGGGACCCATCCGCGCTGCCCGAGGGTGCTGCAGCTGCTGCTCGGCGAGCGGGGTCGGGGTCGCGGCCTCTGCCGCCTCGGGCGCTGGCCTGGGCCGAGCTCCGGCGCCCCAACTTCAGCTCCCAAATGTCACCGTGGCGCGCCAATGCGGGCTGGGCCCATGCTTCGGGGAACCAAAAGTGGCATAAGCATAAAAACTCGGATGTCCGCGCGGATTTCTCGGATCGGCGCTGGAACCCCCTCCCTGGCGCGCGGAGCGCGCCAGGGGCGGCGCCGGAGGCGCCGCCGGGGGCCCCAGCGCCGATCCGCGTTGTTATGTTTATGTTACTTCTTGTTCCCCTAATGATGCGCTAGAAGATCTCCGACGGGGCTGGCCAACGTGATGCATATTCACCAACTGTTCGTCTTCCTGAAGGCTTTCCGTGTCACCACGAAACCTTGCCAGCTTGTTTCAACATCTCAGGGGTCGCCTCGTACGTGCCTGGGATGGCGCACTCGTCGACAGCTTTCGGCTGGCGAGGTCGATCGGATGGCAGTCTGTGGCGCTGGGAAACAGGGATTGCTCTCCACGTAGCCCACCCAGCAGCGCGTCCTCCTCAAGGAAAGCTGTCCACTCTGCTGCCGTCGGCGAGCGCGATGGGTGGGCGCTGCAGGTTCGATGCCTCGCACCAGTGCCAGTACCTGCCAATGAGCGCGCCAATCTGGGAACGGCTTCCTTGTCTCGTCGACGCCATTGCAGCTCAGACTCCACGTGCCCCTCCCTCGTGCGGTCCCGAACTCGCTCGAGCGAAATGGCCCGTAGCTCTTGACCGTGTCACCCAACTGCTGAAGCTCATTGCGCCAATGTGCGTTCGTCGCTGTCACTGCCGATGGCGTATGCGAGGCGATCGCCTCGGCGTAGCACTGCGCCTTCGGCTCTTCCGTCAAGGCCGTCCACTTGTTTGAGCGAGGACCACTTGCGTTCCTCCATCTGGCATTTCCCGTCGTCTCTCTTCGTGGCCAAGGAGAAGTGAGCCAACGAAACCTCACGACACAACTGGGCGACGTTCCAAGATCACCAGGGAAGGTTTGAATTCCAACATCTTCTCGTGTGAATCGTGCAAAACAGGCTCGCGGTCTACACCCTTCAAGAGAGCACCCGCTAACGTTTGGCGGTCCCACCTCCGACGTAATGGCAGCTTCGAAATCGGCGGGAGGATGCACAACGTGCAATCGATCGGAACATGATCCAGGACAACCAACATTGAACGAGTGAGCTTTGCGGTGCGCCTCCAAGCCCGTGCCCTCTGCACAAAGGCGCAGCGCCGAGCCTGGGACCACAGTGGAGTCGATCTGGGACGAACCTCGCATCCAGGATCACGCATCACCGGCCCGGAAGTTGGCATGGACTGTGACCCTCCCCTTCTGGCCGCCGGCATCGGCCTTCCGAGCCCACAGTGCTCCGTACTTCAGCGTCCTGGCCGTAGTGCGCCTCCTCGGCCCACGCCCCGACGCACGCGTCGAACATCCCGACGATCCCGACGATCCCCGCCGGGCGGACGAGACCTCGTCAGCTCTGCACGCGGTCGTCCGCGAGCGCGGATGCCAGGCGCCCCGAAAGCTCCACCTGGCCCCTGCAGAGGGCGCCCGCCGTACAGCACCAGCGCGAGCATTGTGTTGTTCCCATCGTACTTGCGGACCACATCCCAGACATCATTTCGAACGCCCAGGAAGGTGTCGAAACGGTGTCGAAACAGTGGCGGGCGAGTGTCTCCCAGGGCCCGACACGTGAAAACCCTCGAGTCTCGGCGCTCTTGGTGGTGCTCGACCTTCTTCTTTTTCCGGGTGATCGAGGCGAACGCAGGCTGGAGCAGCATCAACCCGAGGAGGAGGAGGCGGAGGCGGAGGTGGAGGCGGAGGCGGAGGAGGAGGAGGGGGAGGGGGACTGTTTTGGACTGTTTTGTTTACCCAGAGGCCCATTCGGGAAACGCTCCCAAGGCAAGGCGCAACCACCCCGCACTCGGAGCTGACGCCCCGAATGCGACATGGCCCCGCCCCGCCCTATAGGTGCGTCACCCTCCCGGGGACTGGGATGAATACTACTCTCCTCGCGGACCGTCCCACATCAGCCACATCACGCTAGGCTGAAAAAATCGGGAGGCGACTGACGGCCTCGCTCAATCGCAACTCTCGCGCACGAAGGATCGCCTTCGGCGCCCCGTCACGGCGGGGGAAAAGACCTCGCCGAATGCGGGAGAGATTTTCCACGCCCTTCCTGGTCGGCCGTCCCGGGCACACGCGGACCATGTGCCTGGGGTCGCTGCCTGTGGTGTAACGTCCACACTGGTGGCAAAAAATCACTGCGAATTCAGGCCAGAACGCGAGCCGGTGAGATCCGTCAAGCTGCTCAGCTACCCCGCCCTCGGCGGCAAGACACGGCGCAATACGACCTCCATCCAGAGCCTGCGCCAGACTCCCTGTTGGAATCGGCCCTCGGCACTCCGTGCCACAGAAATGCAACAGCTGGTGCGAGCGTACCATGCGGTGGCAGCGCACGCACGTCCAACGCTCACCACAACGTCGCAACTCATGATCGGACCGCTGGACACCGAGGCGGGCTGGAGTGCGGGCTGGACGCCGAGGGCCCGCCGGCCGCTTGCCCTGCTCCCCGTCCGCTGCGCTCGCCAACTCCAGCGCCTTCCTCGCCGGGCGGCGCACCAGCGACGCGATCGCGTCGATCTCATCGGTGCGCGGAGCGGTGCCGATGAGCCCCGCACGCCGGCCACCCTCCGCGGCGGCGCCTGCCAGCACGTCCGCCGAGGCATTGCCCAGCGCCAGGAAGAAGTCGCGCTCGGAAGTGAGCAGGTGGACGTGCTCCTCCGTGTGCGACGCCACCCACTCCACCTGCACCTCACCAGGACCTCGCGCCGCGAAGGCGGCCCGCGCCCTCTGCCACAGGTCCTCATTCGCGAGCCCCGCCTGACCAGCGCCCTCCAGCCTCCCGTGCCACGCGCGGAACAACGGCTGGTGGTCCGTGACGAACCGCACGTTGCCCGTGGTCTCCTCGAGCGCCAGCACGAAGGCGAAGATCTCCGCTCGGGGCACCGTCTGGCGACGACCTGCCAGCGGAAGCGCTCGGCCCCAAGCTGGAACCCAGACGCCCTCGGGGCCCCGCTGCATGATCACGATGGCCGTCCCGCATCGGCGTCGGCGCGGATCTGAGGAGAAAATGCCGCCCGAGCCGTCGCCGAAGACAGTGAGGAAGCCAAGGACGTCTCGCAGCTCGTCGAGGTCGCCGCCGAAACTGGCCGCAGCCCCCTGCGCCAACTCCTCGTCGTAGCGCGGCGTGGTGAGCACTGCCGGCGCGACGCCCCGCAGCCACAGGGCGGGCTGCGCCTCGATCTCCGCGAGCGCCCGCGGGAGGAGCCAGTCCGACTTCTCGAAGGACTCATCACCCACGTTGGCCGAGCACAGCCAGACCCTGTGTACCAGGGTCTCGCGGCACCGCCCGCATCGCTTGCAGATCTCGTCAGGCAGCACATAGCCCGCCTCCGTCCTGCGGGCCCTGGGCCACTGCCCGCCAGCGACCACCGAGAGGTTGAGCCCCCACTCCGACAGCAAGCCCTGGGCCTCCATGCGCCGCATCTCGCACGCGATCTGCCAGAAGTCCGCGCCCTCCAGCAAATCCTCCCCCGCCTCGTGCACCGAGGCCTGCCTCCACAGCTGTGCCCGAAGATCTGCCTCCACGTCGTCCAGCACGGCTTGGAACTCCGCGCAAGCCTGAAACTCGGGGTCGTCAGCACTGGGCAAGAACCACTCGTCCTGGCCCTCGGGCGTGGGCCGGATCCACCGCGTGGCAGAGATGGGCGACCAGCCGAGGTCCATCAAGGTGGCTTGCAGCGCGCCGAGCGGCCCCCGGACCCTCTGCCATCGGCGAGCCCCAGCCCGCAGAAGGGCGCTCCGCACGTGCGGCCACGCCCTCCGAATGCGCCCGTGGAGCTGGGGCGCTGAGAACCAGAGGCCACACCACGACTCCACGACCTGCTTGCGCAGCACCACGTGCGGGTCCATGAGCCCCATCGTCGCCGCCAGGACCGAGGTCAAACATCTCCCTTTGGCGGAACCGCCCACCGCCTGGGCGGCCTGCCGCCGCAACGCCAGGACGCGGCTCGGGGCCAGCCCGAAAACCTGGTGCCCATAGGCGGCCTGAGGGAGGGCTCCTGTCGACCAGAGGCCGCGGCACTCCTTGGTCAGCGCCGTCGCCCGGCGCAGGCGCATGATACGCTGGAAGCGCCGCGCTCCGCCTCGCAGCCTCGTCGACGCCTTCCAGCACACTCGCCGCCTGCCCGCCGCCGCGTCGATGCCGAGGTCGACCGCCGATTGCACCACCTGGAACGGCACGCCCAGCTGCTCCAAGGTCTTCGACACCTCGCCGGCCAGCTCCGCGTCCGTCGCCACCAGCTTCGTCTTGCCCGAACAGATCAGCTCCTGCTCATCCAGGCCCTGCTTCAGGACCCCCGCGATCCGCGGCAGCTCGTCCCGCACTGCTGCACGGGGGCCCTCCACGCGAGCCACGGTGTCATCGATGAAGCTCCACAGCCCCGCTCGCGGGCACTGCACGTGCGCCCTCAGCAGGAGCGGGTGGAGATACAGCTTCCCCAGCGACACGCCGTGACTGGAACCCGCTACCACCGAACGAGTCGCCTCGACCGCCATGGAGACCCCATGATGACGGTCCCGCAAGAAGCGAGGCGCAAGGAACAGCTGCACCTCCAGGCCGACCACCACCGCAGGGTACTCGAACCTCTCCGCGATGGCCATCAGCTTGACCAGCGACACCAGGTCGTAGAACGTCTCCACGTCCATGTACAGGGTGGAGGCCGCCACCCCCAGCTCCATGCCCGTCTCGTCCATGACCGCACGCAGCAGCGCCGCGCGCAGGGCGCTGGAGCCCCGGATGGCCGAGTCCCAGAAGGCGCCCAAGTCTTCCGTCCAGGATGACGTGACGGACGACCTCGCCCGCGACCACACTTTCGGCGGCAGCGGCAGCATGCCGATGATGCGCTCCCCGCCCGCACTCTTAGGCAGCGCAGCGCCGATGACGCCCAGGAGCTGCCTGGGCCAGCAGCCGCGCCGCTCGCACTCCACCAGCAGCTGACGCAGCTCCTCGCGTCCCTCAGGGGGCAGCCGCGCCAGGTCGTTCGACCCGAGGCCATCGACCCCTCGGGCCTTCTTGGGCCCCTGCGCACGCACTCCGCCATCCAAGCACTCGAGGTCCAGCTCGGGAAGTGGATCCTCCCGGGCGCGGCGGAGAGTGGCCTGAAGGGCTGCCATCAGATCGTCCCAGGAGTCGACTGGAGCGCGCCAGAGGCCGCCCCAGCGCTGCGCCTTCCTCGACCTGACCTGACCAGGCTCTGCGATGGCGCGGCCGCCCACCACCAGCTCCGACGTCTCAGGGCCAGGGTCGCGAACGTGCCGATGGAGGACACCTGGGCTCTGCTTCCACACCGTTCGAGCCCAAGCCCCGAAATCGCGGCGGCTCTTCGCCAGCGAGCGGGCCTGGCTGGCGGAGAAGAAGCGCTCGGTGACTCCCACCATCACCTCCAGCTCGCTCAAGGGAATCACGCCCGCACCCCTCATCATCAGGGCCCAGGCCTCGTGCACCTCCGCGTTGACCCCGCGGTTGAAATGCTCGGCGCAATCCAACATGATGCGATCCACCTCGCGCAATAGCAAGGTGAAACAGCGCTGCCGCTGCTCCTCCGCCTTGCCGCTGCCGCGCAGCAGCGCCAACTGCCGCAGGAGCGCAAGGGTGACGCTCCAGTGCTCCGACGCCTGGTGCTTGAGGTGGGCGCGCCCAGGCGCAGCCCGCAGCCTGGCGCTCCTGAAGTCGTAGCCGCTGGCCCGCCCACAGTACGGCCGCCTCGCCGCCGCATCGTGGCACCCGTTGGCGCCCAGCCGAACCACTTCCAGCTTGGAGACCCATTCCGCGTACACGCGGCTGACCGCAACGCCACCCTGACCCGCCTGCTGCACAAGGCGGTGCGACTCGAGCTCACCCATCGCCGTGGAGCTGCACCTGCCAACTTCAAACTCCGAAGGGGCTGTTGCAGCCCAGGCCTCGGCTGAGACGAAGAACACCGGCTCGAACTCCGCACTCTTGGCCTCGTGTCGCGAAGCCAGCTCGATGACCGCCGCCCCGTCGTCCTGCTGCCCCTCAGGCCGAGGAGCGTCGAGGGTCATCGTGGGGCCCCCGCCAGATGGCCCTCCCGCTGCCGACGACGATACCGCCGACCCTCCCGCCGAGCGAGAGGAAGAGTGGTCAGCTCCCTCACCACGTCCAGCAGCGGCCTCGTCGCGACCCCGTTCACCATGCAAGTCCACCTGCCGCGCCTCCGGCCGGGTTAACGTCACCGCACCAGCGCCGGACATCTCCCCCTCCCCGAAGAACTGCTCTCCAGGGCCCTCGTCGTCGTAGTCCACCAGCGTCTCCAAGGCCGGCGCTGCCGCGGCGGCCGCCTCCTCTTCGAGGCGGCTCAGCTGCTCCACCTCCGCAGCCAGCTGCAGGTCCACGAACGCCTCCTGCAGGCCACCAGACAGCCTGTCACGCCTCCGCGCCAGGCTCGCGGCCTTGCGCTTCGACGACTTGCTGTCGGGGCCCGCCGCACGCGTTGGCCTCGGCGCCACTGCCGCGCTCCTCGCTTGATCTGCAGGCTGAGCCCGCAGTGGACCCGCCACGGCACGTCCAGGACCGCGGTCAGCTCAACCTGGGTCGAAAGCCCCTCGGAGACCAAGCCGAAGTCGATGAGGCTGCCGCTGCCCTTGAAGCAGGTGGCCTCCGTGCCCTGCGGGAGCAGGAGCTCTCCCCCGACCTTGCCGGGAAAGGACGTCTCCGCCATCTCATTGGGCGAAAGATTCCAGTCGGCGAGCACCACCCACGGGTCCGCCAGCCCCATCAAGAAGGCCCCCAGTGCCGCAAACCTGCAGCGGTTCGCCCCACGCACGCCGAGCCCAGGGAACATGTAGGACATCACCACCACCAAGTTCCCCTGCTTCATGTGGAGGACCAGCGGCGCGAAGCCCAGCAGCGGGTCGTCGCCACCACCACTCGTCGCGCCTCGGAGGTGCGAGAAGGTCGTGGCTGCGATGTCGACCCGCGACGCCACCAGCTCGCCACCCCTGGTCCCCGTCTCTGACCGGACCGAGGCCCAAGCAGGGGCGCCTGAGGCCTTCCAGCCGTCCCTCGCGAGACTCCGAACAGCCTCCACGTGCTTCGCGTCCGAGAGGTGCGTCTCCGCGCAGCCCACCACCGCATACTCCGTCGCATGCTCAACCATGTAGCGCTGCGCCTGCGGGCCCCAGCGCTCGACGCTGCCGAAAAACACTTTGGGCCCCAAGGCAGACTGCCTGCTCGGCCCGCGCGGCCCCTCACAACGTCCAGGAGACGGCACCGCCGCCGCCTCCCCTCCTGCTGACGCATCTGCTGGGCAAGAGTCCACGGCGAACTCCTGCTCCTGTGCTGGCACGGAGCCCATGGCCCCGCAGGGGTGATTACCCGCGCCGCCTCCCAGCGCCAGCATCGCCGCCAGCAGCAGCAGCAGGCGCCGCTGGAGTGCTCGCAGCCCCCTTCGTGGCGCCGTTCTGCCCCTGCTTCTCGGCATAGGCAAGCGCAGCCTTGTCCTTCGCCACGGCGAGTTCACGCTTGTGCTGGGCCAGCCGGTCGGCAGATGGCCCGGCAGCCCCTCCGCCTGGCGCAGCGGTCCCGGGGCCAGGCCTTGGCTCCCCCTTGCCCTTTTCGGCGCCCGCAGCGGCAGCAGGAGCTCGTTCCTCGGCAGGGGCGCCATCGACGGCCGCTCCTTCCCCCGCGCGCCGCTTCTTGAAGGAGCGGGTCCGCGCCAGCCGGAGGAGGGCCGCCCCCTTCTCCTTGAGAGCCGCCACCTTGGCCCCATGGATGTCGCACACCGTCGCCTGCGAGGCCGCGAAAGCCTGCTCCTGCGCCAGCCTGGCTTGCTCGCGCGCCAGCCTGTCCGCCTCGATCTGCTTGTAGGCCTCGTCCTGCTGCTTGTGCCACTGGTCCGTAGCTGCCTGAAGCTCCGTGAACCCAGTGCGGAACTCCTCGTCGGCCTCCTCCAGGTACTCGAGCAGCTCGGAGTCGATCGCGAACACCATGGGCTGGGGCGGCGCAGGCGCAGCGGCCTCCGCAGGCGCCTTGGTGGTCTGCGCGACGGTCTCGGCTGCCAGCTCAACCTCCATGTTGGCCGACAGATGCGCCGCGCTGAGCTCCTCGAGCTTCTCCTCCATGCGGCTGAGCTTGGCCTGCATCGCCACCACCTTCTCGATCTGCTTTTCGACGGCCTTCTTGGCCTTGGTCTGCTCCTCCGTGGCCTGCTTGTAGCGGTCAGCCGGCGCCAGCACCACAGCGGGCTTCGGAGGCGGCTCGGGCGGCTTGGCCAACTCCGCCTGCATGGCCAGGATGATCTGCGAGTTCGCGGGGAAGCGCTCGCACAGCTTCGTAAGCAACTCGTCCGGAGCCGCCATGGCGTCGGGGCGCTGGACGTCGCGGCCGCCACTGCGCCCTGGACACTCCTCCAGCTGCGTCTGTAGCTGCGTCCCGCACTTCCCGCAGCAGCCGCCTTGCTTGCGAAGCCGCCAGTCGTAGACCCAATTCTGACACTTGCTGCACACCGTGTACTTCTGCCCACGGGAACGACCCCAGCTCCCCATCGTACACTGAAGCAAGATCCTGCACTCCTCCCACTGCTCCGACAGGAGCTCACAAAACGCGGTCGAGTACGCTGGTACTCGACTCCAGACCTGGGCGAACAGGCCGAGAGTGCAGAGAACTGGCCGCGGATTAGCGGTATCCCTTCTGCCTGGAGGCTGACAGCCTCCCAGACAAACATCTTGAGCCAAATGGCTACGGAGGAGGGGGAGGGGGAGGGGGAGGAGGAGGAGGAGGAGGAGGGGGAGGAGGAGGAGGAGGAGGAGCAGGAGGAGCTGGAGGAGCCCAGGGGGGGGGGAGGACTGGGCACCGTGGCCCCGCAGCGGCGGCGGCGGCCCCCCCCTGTGCGGCAGGAGGCTCCCGGGGAGGGGCCCCGAGGCAGGAATGGGGGGGGGGCCCTGCGCGGGGCGGGGCCTGCGGAGGGGAGGGGGGGGGGAGGGGAGGAGGAGGCCGGCCGAGGAGGCGGAGACTCTGGAGACCCTGCCTGATTGCGTGGCGATACGGAGGAGGAGGAGGAGGAGGGAGGAGAGGAAGGAGGAGAGGGGAGGAGGAGGAGGGGAGGGGGAGGGAGGAGGAGGAGGAGGAGGAGGAGGAGGGGGAGGAGGGGGAGGAGGAGGACGACCATCTTGCGAACATGCGATCCCCCCAAAACAATGCCGACCTGCACTCGAGCGTCCCTCTCTCCCGCGCGCCCGCGCGCGAAGTCTGTGCACCCCCCCCCGCTTCGGGAGCGCTTCCTCTCGCGCCAGCTGGCAGAACACTCTGCCTGCGCCGTCGTGGACACTCTGCCGTACTGCGAGCTCACGCGCCCGCGGACGGCACAGCGACCTGATTGGGTTGCAAAGCAATCTCGGGCGAGAGCACCGTTCCTCAGCTTCGGGGCCTCGCTGGCCAAGGCCTCTCGGATAAATTCGCGTGGATGCATCGAGCGGGAGCCGCTGTCGTTGCAGCTGGGCCGCTATGACCTTCTCTGAACTGCGAGGAAGTCTGGGCTGAGAGCGCCGTTCCTCAAGTCGGAGGCCTCTGCGGCCAGAGCGTCTCCGAGCAAATCCCACCAGCCCTCTGGGCGTAGGTGGTTTAGAGAGTTTCCTCTTCCACCCCTCCTTCTTCCCCTTCGGGGAGGGGGTTACCCCTCCCCCTACCCCCTCCCCTGGACCTGGACGGGGGGCGCGGCGACGCGTTGGAGCGCCCAAGATGGCCCAAGACGGCTCCAAGAGCGCCTCGGAAAGCCCAAGATGACCTCCAAGATGGCCCAAGATGGGCCAAGCTGCATCAAGATTGCTCTGAAGATGCTGCAAGAGGCCCCAAGACCGCCCCAAGACGGCTCCAAGAGGCTAAATAGCTCCCCAAGGAGTCCTCCAAGAGGCTTAAATCCTTCAAAAACCTAAGGAAAACGAATGATGTTTGCCTTCTCGCCTTTTCGCTTCCGATGGCCTTCCGAGGCCCAAGATGGCTCCAAGAGGGCCCAAAATAGCCCCAAGAGGGGCCCAAGAGGGCCCCAAGACGGCCAAGAGCGCCCAAGAGCGCTCCAAGAGCGCCCCAAGAGGGGTCCAGGAGGCTATTTTTGGAGCTCCAAGAGCGCCCCAAGAGGGCCCCAAGAGGGGTCCAAGAGGCTCTTGGGGCGCTCCAAGAGCGCCCCAAGAGGGGTCCAGGAGGCGAGGGGGAACCTAACTAGGGACCCCCCCTTCTTTGATCGATCGCCTCCAAGATGGCCCTAAGAGGCGCCCAGGAGGCCCCAAGAGGCGCCAAGATGGCCCCAAGAGGCCTCCAAGAGGCCCCCCCCCCGACGCACTCAAGACGCCCAAGAGCCCCCAAGGACCGCCAAGAGACCCCCGAGACGTCCCAAGATGCCTCCAAGAAGCGCCCAAGAGATGCCCCAAGAGGCTCCGAAAGGGATTCAAGAGACCTCTGGCATTTTTGCTCGCCCCCTCCCTCCTCGCCGTCGCTGCCGCCGCTATCGTCGCCGCCGCCGCCGTCGTCGTCGTCGTCGACGACGCGTTGGGAGGAGAAGCGACACTAGCACCACCCGGAGCCACCTCCAGCAAGGGGTCCACGATGCCTCCCCGAGCTAGGGAGTGGAAATGTTCATGTGGGAGGGGGGACCGCACCACCAGGGAGACCCCCCTCGACGACGATGGTGACGACGATGGCGACGACGACGACGACGACGACGAAAACGACAACGACGACGACCACGACCACGACGACGACGACGTCGACGACGACGACGACCACGACGACGACGACGCGTTTCCCCACGCGTCGTCGTCGTCGCGTTCCCTCGTGCTCTTCGCTGTCGCTGAACAACGAGACCTCCCAATTCACCGTTTTTGCCCGCTCGGTTTCACTATGACACTATGAGCGTCTCTGCCTCCATTCTTCCGTCGGCTCCCCTACGCATCGATTGTGGATGGGTTGGTGGGGATGTTTCTTTTGGTCGCGGGCGCAGGCGAGAGCGCAGGCGCCGTCCAAGTAAGTCCGGGTTGCGGCACCTACTAATTTACAGCGAACGCACGCGGCTGGCGCGGGCAACCGGCCGAGGGCCGAACTGCCTGCCAACCATGGCTGCTCAGGCTGCGGCTGCACTGGACCAAGCACCGTCCGTCGCGCGGGCCTGCGAATTGACAACAGCAAACTAGAGCCAGCTGGTGGGGATACGTTTTATGTGGGTCGGCGGCCGCGCGACCACGGTCTGGCGGCAACGGGCGATGTCCGGGACTACGGATCAAGGCTGATTGCACGCGATGAGTGCGGTCCGCACGCACTGAGCAAAATGCTCCGCATTCGAAAGGCAGACGCGCATAGGCGCGGGCCACACCGAAGTGAACAAGCGGCCAGCAGTGCGAGTGCAACGGAGGAAGTAAGCTGGTGGGGATACTTTTTTGGTCGGCGGCCGCTCGACAACGGTCTGGCGGCAACAGCGATGCCCGGGGCAACGGAACACGGCAAATTACACGCGATGCGTGGTGTGCACGTGCACTGAGCAAAATGCTCCGCATTAAGGCGAACGCACATAGGCGCCAGCCACACCGAAGTGACTGGTGAGGATACGCGTAGCGTGTAGAATTGTAAGAAAATATCGAGCGGGAGACGTCGTCGTCGCAGCCGGGCCGTTGCCAATTTGATTGAATCGCGTGGAGTTCTCGAGCCGTCACCAACTCGAGTGAAGCAGTGTCAAGAGAGAGAGCGCCCTTCCTGACCTCGGAGGCCTCTCTAGCTAGGGCGTGTTGGGGCAGACTGCGAGGCAGAAGCGTCCAGCAGGAGCCGTTGTCACCGTCGCCGGGCTTCTGGGGGCCACACTCGGAACCAGCCCCGCGCTCGAGCGAACGCCCCGCGCTCGAGCGCCTGGCTCCGCCTCCGGAGATCGACAACGACTCACTCCAAAAATGCACTCGACGACGACGACGACGTTCACGACCACGACGACGACGACGGCGACCACGACGACGACGACGACGACGACGGCGACGACGGCGACGACGAGTCCGCAGCTGGCCAGCCTTCTGCTGAATGGCGCGGGCCTGAGTGGTGCTGACTGGGGTGGCGTGGCGGGTCGTCCGTCGGCACCGCCGCCGCCGGGGCATCGGGTTCTTGCCCTCCCTGTGTCCTGCGCGTCCCCCGGGTGGCGGGGGGGGGAGGAGAGGCGAGGGCCGAAGAAGAAGAAGGCGAAGAAGAACGAAACATCACGTTTCCTCCCGTGAGAGTGCAAGGGCCGAACGGTCGCACACTTTCCCCAGGTGCGGAGAACTGAAGTGAGGATCCGCGGCGCGGATTCTTGCTGAGTCCTCGCTTCTAAAACATAAGTGTTGTCTGATTCTTGATCCCCTCCTGCACAAGGCAGGTGAGCGACGATAGCACTGGGGCGGCGAGATCTATACGTATCCACTGCCGCCGGCCAGGTTCATCCCGGGCCCAGGATGAGCCTGGCCAGCGGTGCATATGTGTAGATCTCGTCGCCCTGAAGCAAAGTTCCATGCACGATAGCATGGCGACCTTACGCGGTGACCTGCACAAGCCGCCAACGCTGCGCGCCACGTCGAAAAGACGGCGCCTGAGCGCGACCTTGCCCGACGCGGGCAGCGTGCACGCAAATGTTCGTGCAGTCGACCACGTTTCTGAAGCCGCCCAATAGTTATGTATTGGATCATGAGCTCCTCCATCAAAGCACTACAACAACAACTACTACTACTACTACTACTACCACTACTACTAGTACTAGTACTAGTACTAGTACGAGTACTACTGCTACTACTACTACTACTACTACTACTACTACTACTACTACTACTACTACTACTACTACTACTACTACTACTACTACTACTGCTACTGCTACTACTGCTGCTACTGCTACTGCTACACTACTACTACTACTACTACTACTACTACACTACTACTACTACTACCTACTACTACTACTACTACTACTACTACTACTACTACTGCTACTGCTACTGCTACTACTACTACTACTACTACTACTACTACTACTACTACTACTACTACTACTACTACTACTACTACTACTACTACTAAAACTACTACTACTACTACTACTACTACTACTACTACTACTACTACTACTACTACTACTTTCCCCCTCGGCCCCTCCCCAGGAGTGTGAACAGGGAAGACGGCGACTGGTTAGAGCGTCCAAGGCGGTCCAAGATGGCTCCAACGTTACCCAGTGCAGCCCATGATGTTGTTTAAATGGCGCAAGGTGGCCTCCAACATGCACTCAAGAGACTCAGAGACGGCCTGACAATGGCTGGGAGGTGGCCCCCTAGCCTGCAAATGATACCCCCGAGGGGTCAAAATCACTGAAAACGAAAGCCGATTCAATGCTGCGCGTTCGCTTCCGAATGGGCTTCTGCGGCCTCGAGAATGCCCCAGCAAAATCACCCTAAGAGAGTTCCAAGCTTGCCCCCGTCAAGGACAACAGTTTGTTTGGCCGATTGCCTCCTGTATCCCCAAGAGGGCTGGAGAGACCCACAAAAAAAGGGCCCAAGGAAAACACATAGTGCAACAAATAAGGACATAAACATAAAAACTCGGAGGTCCGCGCGGACTCCTCAGATCGGCGCTGGGGCCACACCAGCGGCGCCTCCTGCGCCGCCCCTGGCACGCACCGCGCGCAAGGGATGGGGGTCCAGCGCAGATCCAAGACATTCGCGCTGACTTCCGAGTTCGTATTTGAGCAGGGACCGACCGTCCAGGCATTCCTTCAGGCCTACCACGAAATGTTCTGAGAACCCAAACACGTTCTAAGAAGAACAACAGCAGTGCTCTTATAACATGAGCACGACGTGTCAAGACACGACGGTCTCAGCCAGAAAGGTTCTAAGAACATGCCGTGCAGACCACAAAAGCTTATTGAAACATTATTCGGTAGGCCTGTAGGCGAGTTAAGACGCTTCACCACTGCTTGACTTATGCCTCTGCCATTGTTTCTTCCCCGAACACACCGGCCGCTCTGGCCGCTCCCCAGCGGCTCCCGCCTCGTGAGCGCCCTCCCTCCCTTGCCCTGCCCTGCGGCCGCCCCCTCCCTCCCTTTTCTCGCTCCTGCCGCCGGACAACTGGCGATGCCGTTGCCCGGGGTTTGCCCGAGCGCACGTGCGGACTGCCTCTGCCGCGCTGCGACGCAAAGTAGCATCCCGAGCACACCTCCCCAGGAGAGAGCCCTCGGGATAGCCCCAACACGCCCTCGAAAGATTCCCCTGGAGGCCCCGAGCTGAACACCGTCGGGGGGACGGCTTAGGCGGACCCTCCTCACGAGACGACCCTCCTGGGAGCCGCTTCTTGCTGGGCTTGTCGAGGTGCCTCTTTGATCAACGGCGATGGGCAAGAGCCGACGCGGTGGAGCGAGCGCGGGATGCGCGCGCGAACTCTCGGCATGCAATCAGCGGGCCCCGAGGTAACCGGATCCTGGACCCAGGGGCCATCCACAGGGACCACCTCTCCATCCCGAGTCGGTTCCTGACGGTCCCTGGGCCCGTGAGGCCGCAACTGAACTCGGAAAGGAGAAACTCGGCCAAGCTGAACCAGCTGAACTCGGCCAGGCTGAACTCGGACGGCTAATCTTAGCCAGACCAGACTCGGCCAGACTGAATTCGGCGTGGGCCGAGTTCAGCCTGACCAAATGTTCCCCTGGTCCTGTCCCCTCTCTTCCGTCTCTTCATCCTCTTCCTCCTCTTCCTCATCCTCCTTGTCCTGCTCCTCCTCAACTCTCCTCCTCCTCCTCCACCACTCCTTATACATCAGTCCCTCCCATCTCCCACTCTCCTGGCAAACCTCCCTCTCCTCCCCACTCCTTGCATCAGTCTTCCTCTTCCTCCTCCTCCTCCTCCTCCTCCTCCTCCTCCTTCTGCTCCTCCCCACCCTCCCTCTCTCTTCATCCCTCCCTTCTCATCCCTCCCTCACTCCCCCCGTCCCTCTCCCCACCCAACCCCATCAATCGCCACTCTCGCTACCCTGCCCCTCCTCTCCTCCTCCTCCTCCTCTTCCTCCTCCTCCTCCTCCTCCTGCTCCTCCTCCTCCTCTCCTCCTCCTCCTCCTCCTCCTCCTCCTCCTCCTCCTCCTCCCCCTCCTCCTCCTCCCTCGGCATCTCCTGCCCTCGGCAGGACACAGGGCATCGCGCCGCGTGCGGGCGCACATCCCGAAGAAGCCGCTACGGCTGCGGAATTTGCGCCGGCGGGGGGGCTCGCGGGAAGGCCCGAGGGCAGGGGAGGCGGATCGGGGGCCTCGCCATCGCCGGGACGTCCATTCCTCGCGCATCGTTCGGCTTCGAGCGTACATTGTTTCGCAAGGTGGCCCCAGATGCTCCTCGCTGGTCCTCGCCGAAGGAAACAAAAAAAAAGGCGCACGTCCGAGCGATGCCGAGGATCGAACCAGGGAGGGCACCAACCGAGCAGCAGCAAGAGGGAGCACCTGCTCCGGACGAGGCACGCGAGAGCTCGCCGCGCCCGTCTGCGGATCGGAGCGGGGAGGGCACGAGAAGAGCCGGAGGGGGCCACTGCACTCCACGAGGCCATCGGGCACTCATCGCGCTCGTCCGCCTGGGGCATGGGCGGCGTCGTGTCGCTGGCCCGGGCGTCCGCAAAAAGAGAGAACCGGGGTGGGGGGGCGGTCGATGGAGGAGGAGCAGCTGACAACACGAAGAGGGTCGCCGCATGCAAGGGGAGGTAATTCGGCAGGAGTCGAAGAGAGGCAGGAGGGAGACAACAAGATTGGGAACACAACTGGGCCTTGGATAGTCTCGGAAGCGCTAAGAAGGCGGCAAGCGGATGGATGAGTGAATAACCAGGAGGAGGAAGACGATGGGAGAAGAGGGAGGGGAGCAGTGGTGGGAGGGACGATGAGGGTGGCAGGCAGATGAGCGAAGAGGAGGGAGGAAGAGGGGGGAGCAGGGAGGAGAAGGGAGGGAGGGAGGAAAGACAAATAGCGAGGAAAGGAGATGATGGGGCGGGGGACGGGGAGGCGGCAGGAGGAGGAAGGTGGACGCATGAGCGGGGAGGAAGGGATGGTGCAAGAAAGCAGGAGGAACAGCGGGGGACAAAGGGGTGTGGAGGAAGGGGCGCGAGGAAGGACGGGACACGAGAGGAAGAAGGAGGGCAGGACACGGAGGAATCCAGCCGCTGCCGTTTCCGAGAGCGGCCCGCACGCCACCCCAAAAGGGGTCCGTCGCATCAGGCAGAGGGGCGAGCAGGATCGGGAATGGGGGCGGGGGCGAGCGGGCGGAAGGCGAGGGAGGGGGAGGAGGGAAGAGGAGGAGGGGCAAAGAGTGGAGGAGGGGAAGGGAGAGGGGAGGGGGAGAGAGGGAGGAAAGGCGAGGGATGACGGAAGATAAGCGGAGAGGAGGAGAAGTGGCGAAAGGGGAAAGGGATTGTGGGGCTTCACGGTGTTCAAGGGAATATTAATGAATTGTAAGCAAGATTCTCAAATCCATGGTTGCAAGAAGGTGTTCTGCTGGGTTCTACAAGTTTCTGGATGTGGCCAAGCGCCCAGGTCCTTGCGACCAAGAGATCATATCAGAGAGTGCGGGGCATAATTAAGCAGAATATTCAGAGTCTGTCTTACAGATCAGAGAGACCAGAGCGAGTTAAGAGAGCATATCACATCTACTGGGTGGCAGCTGAGAGAGAGAGAGAGAGAGAAAAGAGAGCGAGAGAGAGAGACACACACACACACATAACGAGAGAGAGAGGGATACCTTGTATACAGGCTCAAAGTTAAATATACACGAGTGATTGTGTGCTCCCAATTCCAGCAAATCATATGGATATGTATGTGTATATGTGTGTACGTATGAATATATATATATATATATACACCTACATGATGTTACATCTTCTACATACATTGTAACGCATCCGGCACCGTGCCTCGAGGCACGAACGGGAGTGCTCCCCAAGCTTCAGGGGTCCCCTGTACTTGGCACTCAATGCTGTATGATACAAGCTTGGGACAGGGCACCCACGGCATCCCAATCTTCCGGGCGCCTTGGCGCGCTCTGGGACTTCCTCGCGTGACTTCTGCAAAGGCCAGAGGCCCCCAAGAAGACTCCTCCAAGACGGCCGAAGAGCGCTCCAAGACGGCCCAAGAGGCCCTCAAAGGCACCCCAAGGGAGTTCAAAGATCCCCACGAGGCAAACATGCATGGGGGTTCCATCGGTGTTTGGAGGATGTTGGCGTTCTCGTCTTGTCGGGCTCGCGACGCTCCAAGGC